CTAAATCCTCCTGCTGATGCTGCAGCCCTGGTAGGAACTAAATCCTGCTGATGCTGCAGCCTTGGTAGGAACTAAATCCTCCTGCTGATGCTGCAGCCCTGGTAGGAACTAAATCCTGCTGCTGCTGCAGCCCTGGTAGGAACTAAATCCTGCTGCTGCTGCAGCCCTGGTAGGAACTAAATCCTGCTGCTGCTGCAGCCCTGGTAGGAACTAAATCCTGCTGATGCTGCAGCCCTGGTAGGAACTAAGTCCTGCTGATGCTGCAGCCCTGGTAGGAACTAAATCCTGCTGCTGCTGCAGCCCTGGTAGGAACTAAATCCTGCTGCTGCTGCAGCCCTGGTAGGAACTAAATCCTGCTGCTGCTGCAGCCCTGGTAGGAACTAAATCCTGCTGCTGCTGCAGCCCTGGTAGGAACTAAATCCTGCTGCTGCTGCAGCCCTGGTAGGAACTAAATCCTGCTGCTGCTGCAGCCCTGGTAGGAACTAAATCCTCCTGCTGCTGCAGCCCTGGTAGGAACTAAATCCTCCTGCTGCTGCAGCCCTGGTAGGAACTAAATCCTGCTGCTGTTGCAGCCCTGGTAGGAACTAAATCCTGCTGATGCTGCAGCCCTGGTAGGAACTAAATCCTGCTGCTGCTGCAGCCCTGGTAGGAACTAAATCCTGCTGCTGCTGCAGCCCTGGTAGGAACTAAATCCTGCTGCTGCTGCAGCCCTGGTAGGAACTAAATCCTGCTGATGCTGCAGCCCTGGTAGGAACTAAATCCTGCTGCTGCTGCAGCCCTGGTAGGAACTGAATCCTGCTGATGCTGCAGCCCTAGTAGGAACTAAATCCTGCTGCAGCCCTGGTAGGAACTAAATCCTCCTGCTGCTGCAGCCCTGGTAGGAACTAAATCCTGCTGATGCTGAAGCCCTGGTAGGAACTAAATCCTGCTGATGCTGCAGCCCTGGTAGGAACTAAATCCTCCTGCTGATGCTGCCCTGGTAGGAACTAAATCCTGCTGATGCTGCAGCCTTGGTAGGAACTAAATCCTCCTGCTGCTGCAGCCCTGGTAGGAACTAAATCCTGCTGCTGCTGCAGCCCTGGTAGGAACTAAATCCTCCTGATGCTGCAGCCCTAGTAGGAACTAAATCCTGCTGCTGCTGCAGCCCTGGTAGGAACTAAATCCTCCTGATGCTGCAGCCCTAGTAGGAACTAAATCCTGCTGCTGCTGCAGCCCTGGTAGGAACTAAATCCTCCTGATGCTGCAGCCCTAGTAGGAACTAAATCCTGCTGCTGCTGCAGCCCTGGTAGGAACTAAATCCTGCTGATGCTGCAGCCCTAGTAGGAACTAAATCCTCCTGCTGCTGCAGCCCTGGTAGGAACTAAATCCTGCTGATGCTGCAGCCCTGGTAGGAACTAAATCCTGCTGATGCTGCAGCCTTGGTAGGAACTAAATCCTCCTGCTGCTGCAGCCCTGGTAGGAACTAAATCCTGCTGATGCTGCAGCCCTGGTAGGAACTAAATCCTGCTGATGCTGCAGCCCTTGTAGGAACTAAATCCTCCTGCTGCTGCAGCCCTGGTAGGAACTAAATCCTGCTGCTGCTGCAGCCCTGGTAGGAACTAAATCCTCCTGATGCTGCAGCCCTGGTAGGAACTAAATCCTGCTGCTGCTGCAGCCCTGGTAGGAACTAAATCCTCCTGATGCTGCAGCCCTAGTAGGAACTAAATCCTGCTGCTGCTGCAGCCCTGGTAGGAACTAAATCCTGCTGCTGCTGCAGCCCTGGTAGGAACTAAATCCTGCTGTTGCTGCTGCAGCCCTGGTAGGAACTAAATCCTGCTGATGCTGCAGCCCTGGTAGGAACTAAATCCTGCTGATGCTGCAGCCCTGGTAGGAACTAAATCCTCCTGCTGCTGCAGCCCTGGTAGGAACTAAATCCCGCTGCTGATGCAGCCCTGGTAGGAACTAAATCCTGCTGATGCTGCAGCCCTGGTAGGAACTAAATCCTGCTGATGCTGCAGCCCTGGTAGGAACTAAATCCTCCTGCTGATGCTGCAGCCTTGGTAGGAACTAAATCCTCCTGCTGATGCTGCAGCCCTGGTAGGAACTAAATCCTGCTGATGCTGCAGCCTTGGTAGGAACTAAATCCTCCTGCTGATGCTGCAGCCCTGGTAGGAACTAAATCCTGCTGCTGCTGCAGCCCTGGTAGGAACTAAATCCTGCTGATGCTGCAGCCCTGGTAGGAACTAAATCCTGCTGCTGCTGCAGCCCTGGTAGGAACTAAATCCTGCTGATGCTGCAGCCCTGGTAGGAACTAAGTCCTGCTGATGCTGCAGCCCTGGTAGGAACTAAATCCTGCTGCTGCTGCAGCCCTGGTAGGAACTAAATCCTGCTGCTGCTGCAGCCCTGGTAGGAACTAAATCCTGCTGCTGCTGCAGCCCTGGTAGGAACTAAATCCTGCTGCTGCTGCAGCCCTGGTAGGAACTAAATCCTGCTGCTGCTGCAGCCCTGGTAGGAACTAAATCCTCCTGCTGCTGCAGCCCTGGTAGGAACTAAATCCTCCTGCTGCTGCAGCCCTGGTAGGAACTAAATCCTGCTGCTGTTGCAGCCCTGGTAGGAACTAAATCCTGCTGATGCTGCAGCCCTGGTAGGAACTAAATCCTGCTGCTGCTGCAGCCCTGGTAGGAACTAAATCCTGCTGCTGCTGCAGCCCTGGTAGGAACTAAATCCTGCTGCTGCTGCAGCCCTGGTAGGAACTAAATCCTGCTGATGCTGCAGCCCTGGTAGGAACTAAATCCTGCTGCTGCTGCAGCCCTGGTAGGAACTGAATCCTGCTGATGCTGCAGCCCTAGTAGGAACTAAATCCTGCTGCAGCCCTGGTAGGAACTAAATCCTCCTGCTGCTGCAGCCCTGGTAGGAACTAAATCCTGCTGATGCTGAAGCCCTGGTAGGAACTAAATCCTGCTGATGCTGCAGCCCTGGTAGGAACTAAATCCTCCTGCTGATGCTGCCCTGGTAGGAACTAAATCCTGCTGATGCTGCAGCCTTGGTAGGAACTAAATCCTCCTGCTGCTGCAGCCCTGGTAGGAACTAAATCCTGCTGCTGCTGCAGCCCTGGTAGGAACTAAATCCTCCTGATGCTGCAGCCCTAGTAGGAACTAAATCCTGCTGCTGCTGCAGCCCTGGTAGGAACTAAATCCTCCTGATGCTGCAGCCCTAGTAGGAACTAAATCCTGCTGCTGCTGCAGCCCTGGTAGGAACTAAATCCTCCTGATGCTGCAGCCCTAGTAGGAACTAAATCCTGCTGCTGCTGCAGCCCTGGTAGGAACTAAATCCTGCTGATGCTGCAGCCCTAGTAGGAACTAAATCCTCCTGCTGCTGCAGCCCTGGTAGGAACTAAATCCTGCTGATGCTGCAGCCCTGGTAGGAACTAAATCCTGCTGATGCTGCAGCCTTGGTAGGAACTAAATCCTCCTGCTGCTGCAGCCCTGGTAGGAACTAAATCCTGCTGATGCTGCAGCCCTGGTAGGAACTAAATCCTGCTGATGCTGCAGCCCTGGTAGGAACTAAATCCTGCTGCTGCTGCAGCCCTGGTAGGAACTAAATCCTGCTGATGCTGCAGCCCTGGTAGGAACTAAATCCTGCTGCTGCTGCAGCCCTGGTAGGAACTAAATCCTGCTGATGCTGCAGCCCTGGTAGGAACTAAATCCTGCTGATGCTGCAGCCCTGGTAGGAACTAAATCCTGCTGATGCTGCAGCCCTTGTAGGAACTAAATCCTCCTGCTGCTGCAGCCCTGGTAGGAACTAAATCCTGCTGCTGCTGCAGCCCTGGTAGGAACTAAATCCTGCTGATGCTGCAGCCCTGGTAGGAACTAAATCCTGCTGCTGCTGCAGCCCTGGTAGGAACTAAATCCTGCTGATGCTGCAGCCCTGGTAGGAACTAAATCCTGCTGATGCTGCAGCCCTGGTAGGAACTAAATCCTGCTGATGCTGCAGCCCTTGTAGGAACTAAATCCTCCTGCTGCTGCAGCCCTGGTAGGAACTAAATCCTGCTGCTGCTGCAGCCCTGGTAGGAACTAAATCCTCCTGATGCTGCAGCCCTAGTAGGAACTAAATCCTGCTGCTGCTGCAGCCCTGGTAGGAACTAAATCCTCCTGATGCTGCAGCCCTAGTAGGAACTAAATCCTGCTGCTGCTGCAGCCCTGGTAGGAACTAAATCCTCCTGATGCTGCAGCCCTAGTAGGAACTAAATCCTGCTGCTGCTGCAGCCCTGGTAGGAACTAAATCCTGCTGATGCTGCAGCCCTAGTAGGAACTAAATCCTCCTGCTGCTGCAGCCCTGGTAGGAACTAAATCCTGCTGATGCTGCAGCCTTGGAAGGAACTAAATCCTCCTGCTGCTGCAGCCCTGGTAGGAACTAAATCCTGCTGATGCTGCAGCCCTGGTAGGAACTAAATCCTGCTGATGCTGCAGCCCTGGTAGGAACTAAATCCTGCTGATGCTGCAGCCCTGGTAGGAACTAAATCCTGCTGCTGCTGCAGCCCTGGTAGGAACTAAATCCTCCTGATGCTGCAGCCCTAGTAGGAACTAAATCCTGCTGCTGCTGCAGCCCTGGTAGGAACTAAATCCTCCTGATGCTGCAGCCCTAGTAGGAACTAAATCCTGCTGCTGCTGCAGCCCTGGTAGGAACTAAATCCTGCTGATGCTGCAGCCCTAGTAGGAACTAAATCCTCCTGCTGCTGCAGCCCTGGTAGGAACTAAATCCTGCTGATGCTGCAGCCTTGGAAGGAACTAAATCCTCCTGCTGCTGCAGCCCTGGTAGGAACTAAATCCTGCTGATGCTGCAGCCCTGGTAGGAACTAAATCCTGCTGATGCTGCAGCCCTTGTAGGAACTAAATCCTGCTGATGATGCAGGACAGGAAAGTTTGGTGCTTCTGGACGTGTCAGTTTTAGCCTTATTGTAACCTTTATCTGGAGGTTCTCTGCTGGTTCTGATCTGGTTTGTTTTTGCTGGTTGTTCTCAGGATGGCCACCCCGACAGGCTGCAGTGTGGGCTGGAGGTGGGAGGACAGCTCCTCCTGCTGGACCTGGAGAAGAACCAGTGAGTCCTGCAGAACTTTTCCATGCAGCACATTTGGACCGAACCTTAAGCCCATTTGTTCTCTCTCTGCAGCCTCCTGCTGCCCAGACCTCCTGACCTCTTCTTCTATCTCCCAAACGGGACCGGAGTGTCCGCCACGGTCGACCCTGTGGTGAGTCGGCGAGCCGCGGCCCGTCGGACCGGTTCTGTTTGGGTTTTCCGGCTCTGACGGTACCGCTGTGTTTGTCGTCTGCAGAGCCCCTGTTATTATCACGGCAGCGTCCGAGGATTCCCGCGGTCCAGAGCGGCTCTCAGCACCTGCTCCGGACTCCGGTCAGTAACAGAACCCAAAGTTCTGATGGGTTCACTCTGAATAAAGATGCTCCCTGGTTCCTATGCAGGGTAGGAACCAGAGCTCAGCTGTAGTACTTGAGTAAAAATACTGATAGTCAGATATTACTCAACTACAGCCAATGGTTACTTGGTCAAACATTAAAATACTTTAGCATTCCAAAATTATGATACCAATTACATTTTCTAATATCAGAATTTTATTTTAAAGAACCTGTAACTTTCAGAAACCTCCTGATGATTTGATGCGTAGAACCACCTGTTATAGATTCTACACCACCTGGACAGAAATGCAGCATAGAAATACCTCAAAAATAAGGCCATTGTGGACAGACACAGAAAAACAGAGCGAACGCAGCCTCAGAGGAAAGTGTTATAAGAGGCCGGTTCTGACCTGCTGGTTAGCAACAGTGCTGGGTTTGTCGTCGTCCCCCCCCCCCCCCCGCTTCCTGAACATCTCCAGCTGCCACATCCTCCTCTTCCTCACTCAGACCTCTGGATGGTGGTTCTGGAAGCGGGTCGGAGCATCTTCTGTTCTGTCTGTCAGCCTGAAATCAGACCTGTTCTTCTTCTGCTGCTCTAAGGCTTAAAGCTCTCCAGCTTGTTCATTTGTTGGTTTCCTGCAGCGGCGTCTTGGTTCTGAACTCCTCCCTGAGCTTTGAGCTGCAGCCGCAGGACCAGAACCAGCGGGATGGGGAGGAGGAAGACCTTCACCTGCTGTTTGCTGCCGGTCCTCTGGAGGGCGCTGCTGCGGCAGGCTGTGGGGTGTCGCACACGTCTGACTCACCAGTCTCCAACTGGACCCACTTCCGGAGGGTAAGAGTGTTCCTGTAGGACAGCGGGGGAGGGGCTTCCTCGGGTTCTGTTTGACCTGATTGGTTTCCTCTGCAGACCAAGAGAGACATTCTGGCAGAGACCAAATACGTGGAGCTGGTTCTGGTGGTGGACCATCAGGAGGTCAGTGGGTTCAACCAGAACCTGCTTCTGGTAAAGTTTCCAAAATGAACCGGTTCTGAGGTCTCATTTATAAAACATGGCGTCTGATCAGAAGCAAAGGATTAGTTTGCTAACAGAAAAAAAACGGCTCAGGTGGGCGGGATTCTGCAGGGTTAATGGAAAAGTCCGGTCAGCGAGGAATAACCAGTGGGTCATTATTTATACCTATAACTAAACGTTCGCAGTGATTTAATGAAGTTAACGTTAATCCGTATAAAAATTTATACAATACCATTTTCCCCCAAATCTAGTAGCCCCTCCCTCCTGCCATCTTCCAGCAGTGACGTCACGGTGCGGTAAGCCTAGCGCCATTCTCCCCGCTTTCCAAGCTAAATCAATGGGAACTACTAGACACATCTGCAATCAACAACAATTATTGAAGATTTCCAGAGGACTTCACCATTGAAATTCACCAGAGCTATAGTGAAACTGACAATGCCCACGTGCATGGCAGCTGGATGCTGGAATACATCGGGGAAAAGTGAAAAAAAGAGTTATTCCACCTTTCTGATTCCTGATCCTCCACGGACGGGTTGGTCGTTGGATCGCCAACTTGAAGAGGGAGGATTTGCCATCGAACTTCTGGCCAGAGAAAAAACCCGTAATATGTAGCCAACATTTGGAAGAAGAATGTTTTCAAGATGACTTGGATAATAGCGCGTTGTGACAAACACCAGATACAGCACTGGGACTTGATCAACAGCCGATACCGCACCGTGACGTCACTAACCAGTAGGTGGCAGTAGTGTTCTTTGACAAACATGGATGCCTCCAGTAAAGCACATTCACATGAAAATTACTCTGAATTAAAAACACTGATCATTTATTGAACAGGATGGAATAAGAAGAGACAGAAAGTTTGAATTCTGAATATGAGCGACTTTTCCTTGCAGCTCAGAACACATCGGATCTGATTTTACTTCCGATCCAACAGAAAATCGTGCCTCGGTAATTGTGCCGTTTAGCGCTGATTGAGAGTCAATGGGGATGATTTCCTGCAGGGGGCAGCGTAGCTCCGACTGAGATAGTAAAAAATTTCTTAAATTAAGTGTATTTATCCTTAATTTCAGTAGTTAAACAGGATGATCTGCCAATGAAATTAGAATTTTTACTCTTAAAATAAGATAATTAGATAATATGCACTTGAAATAAGACAATGTAATTGTTTTTTCTTATTTTAAATGTAAATTGTCTTGTTCCGTTGGCAAAGTGTCTCACTAACCTCCTTAATTCAAGATAAAATGCACTTATTTTAAGAAAAAATTACTTATTAAGATTTACATTTTTTGCAGTGCAGGTCTATTTTAGTCGGACTACTAAGGAACTCAGCAGCAATTTCCTTACAGGAAGAGGTTACAAAGTAAAACTCATCCGCTTTGGGGGAAAATCCAAAATAAAGTCTGTAAATCTCACAGAGAAAGAGTCTGTCTGGAGTCGCGTTTATAGTGAGCAGGACAGACTGGAGCAAAAACAATGAAACATTAAAATAGAAACTTTCTCCATGATGGGAGTTCAGATAGAAACGGATAAAGTAGAGATCCTCCAGAATAAGGAGGAGCAGACAGAGCAGGTCAGAGCAGCGGATCTCTCACCTCGTTATGGAAAAAAGAAAGAAAAACTTCCCAGATCTCCCTGAGAATCACCTCTCAGTCGCCATAGAAACCGTCCCACTGAGTTTATTGCTGCATTTTTCTTTCCTTTAGACGTAGATCTCATGTTTTAATAGATTAACATTCTATCTGTTCTGGTTCTAGAAGCTGCACAGACTCGTTAAGTAGAGGCGAGGTCTTCTGCTCCCCAGGAAAGGGGCTGGGGTTGCGATGATGGGGGGAAGTGAGGTCTTCTTCTCCCCTTTAACGGAGAACAGAAGACCTCGCCTGTTCAGCCAGGCCAACAATTCCCTCTAACGACCCCCCTTTCAGAGACATAGACAGGTATGGGGCATTGCAGGCTAACAAAGAAGCCAAACGACCCCCATTCCAAAGGGGGGGACCCGTTCATCCGTTTCTATTTGCATGTTTTCTAAACTAAAACCAGGCTTTGTTGGGCTGCTGGATAAAACCTGGAACTAAACGCTATTTCTGACATTTTGGAATTAAAAATCTTCCTGGATGGAAGAGAAACGTCTTCAAACTTGGAAACAAAGTCCAGAGGATTGATTTTAACTTTCTCTGAAATGACTCTGACCCAGTCTTGGTAGAATGCGCCACTGTTTTTTTATTTCATAATGTGTTCCAGTGAAATGTGGGAAATAGTTTTATTGTGTTTAGAGACAGAAGTGATCAAATCTGCATAGATCTGCTCACCCTGCCTAATCAGGGACATGGAGAAACATCGGGTCAGAGGTTAAAAAGTCGTAGTCAGTCGGTGTGTTCAAGTAAGTTAAGCTTTAAAAATGAGACCCCAGAACTTTGGGAGGGGATCCAGGGACCGAGTTCTGCTCTTCAGGTCCAGGATGGTTCGGATCCTGCTGGTCCTCTGACTCCTGTTTGCTCCTCACAGTTCCTGAACTACCAGAGAAACAACAAGACCGTCCTCTACCGCATGCTGGACGTGGCCAACCAGGTGGACTGGGTGAGACTCAGCCCCCCCTATAGACCCGGCCCCCCCCGGGCAGTCCCACAGAACCGCCTTGTTTTTCTGTTCCAGTTCTACCGGCCGCTGAACGTCCGCGTGGCGCTGACCGGCCTGGAGATCTGGAGCGACCGCGATAAGATCCGGGTGGAGAAGAGTCCCACCGACACCCTCAACAACTTCCTGGAGTGGAGGAGCAGAGAGCTGCTGCCGCGCCTTCGCCATGACAACGCCCAGCTCATCATGTAAACGTTCACCAAAATAAAAGCTCCTCACGTTGATTCCAAGCGGCTTCTTTGGGCTTTGGTTGCTTCTGACCTGCAGCCAGAATAGGGCCGGATCTGCTCGGGGCTCCGCCCCTTCTTATGACATCAACACATGGCAACGCCACTCAGACAAACTGTATTATACCCGTTTTTTAATAATCGAATCTCTCCTGGAGTCTCAACATATTGTTCCCTATATTTGCTATTATTTTACATTTTATCAGCGATCTAAAGTAGAAAACAATCATTATCAGTCTGGAAGGAAAGACAGACTGAGCTCTGCTATTTAACAAGGAGACACTAAACGTCTCAACTTATTTTTATTAAGAGCTGATGTCAGAGGAAGTTAACAGTTATTCTACTTGTTGAATAACAAACAGTTAAAGGAAAAAACAAAAAATAAACTGTAAAATCAGTATGTATATTTGTATGAGAAAAAATATTTTCAATAAAAAAGTGCAAATATATAAAAAGAAAAGAATAACAAACGGTTGATGTTGAAACAAATATAAAAGTAGTGTAGCCTAATGTGGCTAACCAACGAGCTAAAAGAGGCTAACCTGTTAGCTAGTGAGCACAGCTAGCATAGCGCCACCCAGCTCTCCCTCTTTATATCACGGTCTAACAGTTACTTTGTACCAGAAACAGATTTTTTTGTTTTGTTTTGTCATTGATCAGGTAAAACTTAATCGGTCGTTAGAGACGCTAACGCTACAGATGCTACCAGCTGTTAGTATCGTTGTCTGGGCAACCACAATGTGTTACTTAATGTGGCAACGTTCAGCCAATAGTGTAGCGTAACGCCACTGGCAGGAAGCGGGACCGCAGCAGATCTGGGAGCTACAGCGGGAAATTAATTAATTACATTTTTAATAAAATCTCAATTTAGAAAGATGCTATTTTCAAATCGCAGAGAAACTAAATCTCCAACCTTTAGGTGGCGCCGATACGATGAAAGTAGGCATGAGCCGCACAGAAAGGAAGCTAGAGGTCCAGCCACTGATCTCTGTTTATTCACTGGATTGCTGACTGGTCGGCCATGTTGGTACTCCCACGGAGACAAGCAGTCAAAGGCATTAGGCTGCTAAAACCAGCAGGTTTCTGGCTGTGGGAAGTCGTTCCACAGGTAATGAGTCATGTGTAATTAATACATGTATATTACATCTATATCATGGATGCATCACTTTTGGCTCATCTCTATTATTCTGCTCCATTTACACATTCATTTTACTGTGATGGATTGTATAATATGTTATATTACATCATTTATAGACTTCATAATGACTCTGCAATGTGATTGGCCGATTTGTTTATTCTAAGTTAAAGTTAATCTACTGATGCTATGAAACAGCCAGTCTGTGTCAAAGTGATGAATTTATATTTAGTTTAAAAGCCCTGAAAATGAGAACATCATGGTTGTTCGATGCTTTAGCAGAATGGAACATCTAACCCCAACATGGTTCAGCAACCAAAAAACATCCCAATGATCTGAAATCAGAGCAAAGATGGTAGAAAAACGCAGCAGATCTCTGACTGGAAACAACAGAAACCTTTCAAAAGCCTCCAAAGTCCAAAGAAAGTGTCTGACGGACGTCCAGAAGGTTCCAGGTCTGACTGCTCTGTCTGAACCCAACAGGGGCGGCTCTTTTGACGGCACCACCGTGGGGATGGCGTCTCAGTCGTCCATGTGTTCCCGGGACCGATCGGGAGGCGTCAACGTGGTGAGACCCGCTCTGTGCTGCCGGAGGCGACCGGAACCAGCCTCGTGTTTTATGACCCGTCTCTTTCCCAGGATCACCTGGTCAGCGTTCTGGGCGTGGCCTCCACCGTCGCCCACGAGCTCGGACACAACCTGGGGATGAGACACGACACGGCCGATCGCCGCTGCTCCTGTGAAAATGAGCCACGCCTCGGAGGATGCATCATGGAGCCGTCGACCGGGTCAGGATCAGGATGCAGAACATTTCCACAGCCCGTTCTCCGCTGAACGTCTCGTTCTGCTGAATCAGGGAATAGACCTGCAGACTTTTCCACGCCGCCGCTGGCTTATGGCCGCCTTAGATAACGCAGTGATTACTATTAGAGTTATTATTGTTCTCTGCAACGTTTTATTCCCACTGAATAACAAACGATGTTAAAACACCGAAACTGAACCTCTCAGGTGAGGCTTTGGTTATGATTGACAGACGTGAAGTCGGCGTTTGTCCAAACATCCGCAGCTTTGATCATCTGCGTGGCCTCTTCCTCCCGTCTGAGAGCGACGACTTTTTATTCAGTCTGTTGGTAGAGGTGATGTTTGGGTTCAATCTATCGATGTTTACGTTATAAAACCTTTCCCAGTGCGAGCTGTTGCTCTCCCTCCATGTTTTTACATGCAGATCTGTCTGCATAGTTCCAATATTCCAAGGTAGAGGTGCAGAAACATGGAGCATAAACCCAGCTTTAATCAGCGGGTTCTGTCTGCTTAGCTGGCGCTAACGAGGTCGTCTTAAAGCAGGAGAACTGAGCCGTCTTTGAAACCCCTGATCAGCAGATCGGCGCATTGAACTCTGACTCTTCTCATTGGATTAACATCTGATCTCTTTGTTGTGGCTCACCTGTCCACCTCTGGCTTCAGGTTCCTGCCAGGTCAGCTCTTCAGCAGCTGCAGCGCCGCCGATCTGTCCATCAGCCTGCTGCACGGCGGCGGCATGTGTTTGTTCAACGTGCCGCAGCCAGACCGCCTGCTGGGAGGACCGCGATGTGGAAACCTGTACGTGGAGAAAGGAGAGGAGTGTGACTGTGGCCTGCTGGAGGTACTCGCATGTCCACCTTAAATTATCTGCTGTAGACCTTAAATCAATTCCTGTCCACCTTAAATTATCTGCTGTAGACCTTAAATCAATTCCTGTCCACCTTAAATTATCTGCTGTAGACCTTAAATCAATTCCTGTCCACCTTAAATCATCTGCTGTCCACCTTAAATCATCTGCTGTCCACCTTAAATCATCTGCTGTCCACCTTAAATCATCTGCTGTCCACCTTAAATCAATTCCTGTCCACCTTAAATTATCTCCTGTCCACCCTAAATCAATTCCTGTCCACCTTAAATCATCTGCTGTCCACCTTAAATCAATTCCTGTCCACCTTAAATCATTTGCTGTCCACCCTAAATCAATTCCTGTCCACCTTAAATCATCTGCTGTCCACCTTAAATCAATTCCTGTCCACCTTAAATTATCTCCTGTCCACCTTAAATCAATTCCTGTCCACCTTAAATCATCTCCTGTCCACCTTAAATCAATTCCTGTCCACCTTAAATCATCTGCTGTCCACCTAAAATCAATTCCTGTCCACCTTAAATGCTCTCCTTAGCAGTGGCAGCTGGCCAATAGAGGGCGCTAAGGTGCCGCTCACCCACCGAATGTCCCTGATTAAGAATTAGAAAAAAATATATATTTTTTTTATATAATTTAATTTTAAATTTGCATTTAAAAGATTTCAAAATATATGTATTTCTTAGATCTGCAAGATACACATTTAATCTTTAATGACTAGTAAGGCGTCATTCAATTTTCTGTCGGATTGGTTAGTTTCAAAGTATAAATCAGCCTGAAGGCTTTATTCTTCCTCCTTTCCAAAGGTCAGGTTCTGATCCAGCGTAGATATAGACAGCTAGGACGGATTTAAAGCACTTTATAGAAAAGGCAAAGAAGAATGAACAACCTGGGATTCACATGGAAAATAATAGAATATGGTCGGCGTTTTCTAGATCTTTGTTCATTTGAATAGTTGCTGTTAAATAAGCACATTCTCAGAAAATAGTTTTTATATATAAAAAAATTTACATCTGACTAAAAGAAATTATTAAACTGGTTCATTATATTTTTTTAGGTTTGTGACACAATATTGGACCATTGGAACACAGATTTACCTTCAAAACGCCTCAGAAGGACAAGATTAATGCACAAAAAGTAAACCTGGACAGGAATTTAGGTTTCGTTTTTATAAAGTGCTTTTATACGTTTTTTTTGTTGTTGGGATTCGTATAAATATATTGGTGTGATAATTTAGTACGTTTATTGTTTTTGATATACGTCTATTTTGAATTTATAGCCCCCCCTGGAGAAAACTCCACCAGACGCCACTGCTCCTTACCACTTTAAATCTTCTCCTGTCCGCCTTAAATCTTCCCCAGTCCACCTTAAATTCTCTGCTTTACACCTTATATTCTCTCCTTAAATCACCTTAAATTCTCTCCTGTCCGCCTTAAATTCTCTCCTGTCCGCCTTAAATCCTCTCCTTTCCACCTTAAATTATCTCCTGTCCGCCTTAAATTATCTCCTGTCCGCCTTAAATCCTCTCCTTTCCACCTTAAATTCTCTCCTGTCCGCCTTAAATTCTCTCCTGTCCGCCTTAAATTCTCTCCTGTCCACCTTAAATTCTCTCCTGTCCACCTTAAATTCTCTGCTTTCCACCTTAAATTCTCTCCTGTCCGCCTTAAATCCTCTCCTGTCCGCCTTAAATCCTCTGCTTTACACCTTATATTCTCTCCTTAAATCACGTTAAATTCTCTCCTGTCCGCCTTAAATTCTCTCCTGTCCACCTTAAATTCTCTCCTGTCCACCTTAAATTCTCTCCTGTCCACCTTAAATTCTCTCCTGTCCGCCTTAAATTCTCTCCTGTCCACCTTAAATCCTCTCCACCTTAAATTCTCTCCTGTCCACCTTAAATCCTCTCCTGGCTGCCTTAAATTCTCTGCTTTCCGCCTTAAATCCTCTCCTGTCCACCTTAAATCCTCTCCTCTCCACCTTAAATCCTCTGCTTTCCACCTTAAATTCTATCCGGTCCACCTTAAATCCTCTCCTCTCCACCTTAAATCCTCTCCTGTCCACCTTAAATCCTCTGCTTTCCACCTTAAATTCTATCCGGTCCACCTTAAATTCCCTCCTGTCCGCCTTAAATCCTCTCCTGTCCACCTTAAATCCTCTCCACCTTAAATTCTCTCCTGTCCACCTTAAATCCTCTCCTGTCCACCTTAAATCCTCTCCTGTCCACCTTAAATCCTCTCCTCTTCACCTTAAATCCTCTCCTCTCCACCTTAAATCCTCTGCTTTCCACCTTAAATTCTATCCGGTCCACCTTAAATCCTCTCCTCTCCACCTTAAATCCTCTCCTGTCCACCTTAAATCCTCTGCTTTCCACCTTAAATTCTATCCGGTCCACCTTAAATTCCCTCCTGTCCGCCTTAAATCCTCTCCTGTCCACCTTAAATCCTCTCCTGCCTCTCCTGTCCGCCTTAAATCCTCTCCTGTCCGCCTTAAATCCTCTCCTGTCCGCCTTAAATCCTCTCCTGTCCGCCTTAAATCCTCTCCTGTCCGCCTTAAATCCTCTCCTGTCCACCTTAAATCCTCTCCTGTCCACCTTAAATCCTCTCCTGCCTCTCCTGTCCGCCTTAAATCCTCTCCTGTCCGCCTTAAATCCTCTCCTGTCCGCCTTAAATCCTCTCCTGTCCACCTTAAATCCTCTCCTGCCTCTCCTGTCCGCCTTAAATCCTCTCCTGTCCACCTTAAATCCTGTCCTGTCCACCTCAGTCTGTCTGCTCTGTATTTTTATTGTTAAGCTCATTATTTTAGTCATCATTAAATCATCAGTCGACAGCACAGCTTCATCCTCACATGCTCCACATGACTTTGTTCTTCCTGTTTCCATTGTGCTGTCCTCTGATTGGCCAGGAGTGTAGTGACCCGTGCTGTAATGCGTCCACCTGTCGGCTGGTTCCTGGAGCTCAGTGCTCGTCAGACGGTATCTGCTGTGAGGACTGTAAGGTCAGACCGGCTTCATGTCTCTGAATTTAAGCCGTCAGCATCAGGCAGAGCCTCACCTCTTCTTCTTCTTCCTTATTCAGCTGCGTGCCGCAGGCTCCGTTTGTCGTGAGCCGCTCGGCGAGTGCGACCTGCCTGAGTACTGCACAGGCTCCTCCCCCTACTGCCCCCCTAACGTCTTCCTGCAGAACGGTGAAGCCTGCCAGAACGGCGCCTCCTACTGCTATGGAGGAGTCTGCACCAACATGGACACCCAGTGCCAGATGCTGTGGGGAACCAGTAAGAAAGCTGAGTCTAAACCAGTTTACGCCAAACTAAAGCAGTTTAGCTGGTCACTCCGCTGAAAGCAGAGGAACAATCAGATGAACCTGAAATAAAAATCTCGATCTAAACCAGGAACATCCTTTCTTCTGTAACTGGTTTGAACTGGTTTGTGTTCAGATGCCAGCAGCGCTCCAGCTGTGTGCTTCTCCTCGGTCAACAAACAGGGAAACAAATATGGAAACTGTGGTCAGCTGACCAACGGCTCCTACCTCCCCTGTGCAAACTCGTGAGTAAACGGTGCTGTTCTGTGTTCAGCCTACAAATCCCATGATGCCTCAGTGCTCCAGCTTTATCCTTCTGTTTCAGAGACGTTCTCTGCGGGAGGATCCAGTGTCAGGGCGGGACAGAGCGCCCCCTGCTGGGCAGCATCGCCCAGATCCTCACTGTCCGCTTCAACAACAGCGACCTGGTCTGCAGGGGGACCTTCTTCCACCTGGACGACGACGTGTCGGATCCAGCCACCGTGGACCAGGGGACCGCCTGTGGGCCCGGAAAGGTCTGAGGAACGCCGACCGGTTTTAGATTCCATCTGGACAATAGCTTCGTTTCCATGGACACAAATAATCATCTTGAAGGTCTGATTAGATCTTGATTAGATTAGATGATTCGGTCCGACTGGAAATAGTTTTTATTCTGATCTTGATTCTGATCGGTGTCCTTGTTCTCACCCCCGGATCTTTGGAGTTAAATCCTCTCCTCTGCTCATGGGCACAACGCCAGCGAGACGTTTTTCTCTTTACTGACCTTCATGCGCTGGCGGCTGGTCCCTGGTGGAGGAGGAGGCTCTAATTGATTGATTGATGGACTTTATTGATCTCACAGTACTCGTTAAATCAGCTCAAATAGTAAGAGAAGAAGAAGAAGGAAAAAAAAGGTGCGTGATGGGATATTTACAGTAAATACAGTGAATCTGCATATGACAGCTTTTTATATATATATATGTATATATAGTAGATCATTATACAGGGTTATTGCATAGGGTGTTTACATGGATATTTAAATAGATGATATTTATACAAATAGTTATTGCAGAGGGTGTCAAATATAGAAAAACAGGTTATTGTTTACATGGGTATTTATGCAGATGATAATTATATGTATAGTATATATTGCTCAGGGTATTAAATAGTAATTATTCTCCATTGCAGCAGTTATTGTGGTTGTAGTGTCTCATTGTAGAATCTGGTTGCAGCAGGAATGAAAGACCTGTGGTTGAGCTCCTTTTTACAAAGAGGCTGTAAAAGTCTTTGACTAAAGGAGCTGCTCAGCTCCTCTATGTGTGGATGAACACGCCATCCTGTCCTCTAGCTAAGGAGCGTTAGCATGAGGTACCGGCGAGTCCTTAGCTAAACTAAAATGACCACCATAGTGGAGAAAAAAACAACACATGACTGATGAACCGAAGAGAAATTAAATACTGTTTCTGATCCTAACATTAAAGATGAGGAGGAGCGGAGAAGTACGGCTTTATTTCAGGGTTCCCGCGGGTCCTTAAAAAGTCTTAAAGGGTATTGAATTCTTCAAAATAAAAGGCCTTAATTGGTATTAAAATGTCTTGAATCAGTCTTTCATAGGTCTTAATTTTTAAAACATCATAAATAGGATAATTTTTAATGATTTATTTTTGTAATCTAAATAAAACATCAAAATTGACCTTTTTTTTTTTTTTTTTTAAATAACGGCTCGCCATTATTGGTTCCGTCCCGATAGAGGATTGTTTTGTTCCCTGCTAAAACAAAGTTTGTGAATTCAGTTAAATAATTGTTAAAATAAATCTGTCATCTGTGTGTTTTTAGCTTTCTTCCTGTATGGGAAACTTTTCAAAATGTGAAACATTAGTGCAGTGGTTTATGTTAAAATAAACCTTTGGGTTAAGTTGTAGCAAGCAGGTTTTTCTTGTGTTTCTTGTGAATTTGGTCTTAAATTTTTATTTCAAGTGGCATTAAAAAGTCTTGAATTTAACTCGCCTTATGCTGTAGGAACCCTGTAGCTGGCAGCTGCTGCTTCTTCTACTACTAAAGCATTTCTGGAAAACCTTTATTTAGTTTCCATGGAAACAGATTTTAAACTTCTAATAAACAAAGAGAGAAATTTACACATGCGGGACGTATTTTATCCCTCAGAGCAGCAATAGAATCTGATTGGCTGAAAGATATATTCTTTTTTTTTTTTTTCTGTCGTCTTTGTTCTGGTTTATTTTCTGTGTCTTTGATTGATCTAAACCAGTAAAGTATCCAATCTTCCCAGTAAAGGAAAATAATCTGCAGGTTTTGCCTGGTTCTGTATAACTATCATTTCTCTGCTTTGATGTTTGCAGGCCTGCTTAAATCAGAAATGTCAGGACGTGTCTGTGTTCGGTGTGGACGAATGTCGCAGGAAGTGCAGCGGACACGGCGTGAGTCTCACCTGCTGAAATCCACCTAACAGGAACGATCGCTGTAAAAACCTAACAGCTGACGGCGGCTCGGAGGTTTAACCGGAGATCTGGGATGAACTTCCCAGATCTCTCTGAGAATCACCTCTCTGTCGCCATAGAAACCGTCCCACAGAGTTTATTGCTGCGTTTTTCTGTTCTTTAGACGTAGATCTCATGTTTTAATAGATGAACATTCTATCTGTTCTGGTTCTAGATGCTGCACAGACTCGTTAAAAGAAAAGTTCGTTCAGCTTGAATAATCAACGGATAATTTTTTATACTTAAAACTAATACTTTCACTATCATTTAATGAATTTACAACGAATCAGTAAAAAAATAAAAACAATTTTCGTTGTAATCACGCCGTCTGGGAGCGGCCATTTTTGCCCAAATATAGTAACGCTTCACTCCTGACATCTTCCGCTGTTCTGTCAGACCCGCATATAGATAGTTAATATCTGTTTATCCCTTTAGTGATTTATAAAAACTAGGGATGCAATATATAATCGGCCCCCTATCGGTATCGGCCTTAAAACTGAATATTGGACATCGGCCCCCCCACCGATATTTAACCCGATATTTGATCAGCTTCTGAGTTTCTAAAGTCTAAAAAAAATAAAAACTTCTTTTTTACAGACTTAAAAACTTCTAAAGACGAGGGAAAAAATATTGATCCATTAAAATATCCCAATATCTTCATATGCTGATATATTGCCATTTAAAAACACCATATCAATCTCTTTTACTAATGAAATATTGCTATATGTCATCGTTATGCTACGAAATCCCCCGAAAATTCACCAAATGTTGCCATATTTTTATATGTTGATATATTGACGCGGTATCGATCTATTTTACTAACAAAATCTCACAAGAATTTGCAAAATATCACGAGAGTTTGTAACAGAACGATGAAATTTCACGAGATATTGAAAGTAAAATAGATCGATACCGCGTTTTTAAAAATCTATTTGATATCAGCATATGAAAATATATTTGAGTATATTATTTTTCAAAGTGTCAGAAATGGATAACAAAACTGCTATTTTCAATGACTACTTATTTTTGTCCAGCTTTAACATCGGTATCGATATCGGTTATCGGCTACATGAGTTTTAAAATATCGGCATATCGGATATCGGCCAAAATCCCAATATCCTGCATCCCTAATAAAGACACAATTTAAGGTCAGATCTCCATACGCTTCAAAAAACAACAATAAGTAAGAAATTAAATTGTGCATGACTAAAGGGACGCGCCCATTAAGGTAGTTTAAAGTTTATTTTTTGCACAAAATTAAAGCTATAAATTAAAGGGATAAACGGGACTAGCATATGAAAATCTGACATCTTGCGTACCAACCAAGGATATTCTGATTTAGCAGAACACTGGCAGTGACGTCACGGTGCGGTAAGCCTAGCGCCATTCTCCCCGCTTTCCAAGCTAAATCAATGGGAACTACTAGACACATCTGCAATCAACAACAATTATTGAAGATTTCCAGAGGACTTCACCATTGAAATTCACCAGAGCTATAGTGAAACTGACAATGCCCACGTGCATGGCAGCTGGATGCTGGAATACATCGGGTAAAAGTGAAAAAAAAGAGTTATTCCACCTTTCTGATTCCTGATCCTCCACGGACGGGTTGGTCGTTGGATCGCCAACTTGAAGAGGGAGGATTTGCCATCGAACTTCTGGCCAGAGAAAAAACCCGTAATATGTAGCCAACATTTGGAAGAAGAATGTTTTCAAGATGACTTGGATAATAGCGCGTTGTGACAAACACCAGATACAGCACTGGGACTTGATCAACAGCCGATACCGCACCGTGACAATGTCACTAACCAGTAGGTGGCAGTAGTGTTCTTTGACAAACATGGATGCCTCCAGTAAAGCACATTCACATGGAAATTAATCTGAATTAAAAACACTGATCATTTATTGAACAGGATGGAATCATTTCAGATTTAAAGGACTTTCAGAAGTTTCGGACTTTTCCTTCAAGAGGAGCTTTGCTTTATAGAATGCACCAAATACCTTTAATAATCTGTTCCTGTTGAATGTGGGACATGGTTTAATGTGTGTTTAAAGCACAGAGATAGAAGTGATAAAAATCTGCATAGATCTGCTCACCCTGCCTGGTCAGAGTCTCTCTAGTCTGACATGGAGAAACATCGGATCGCAGATTAAAAAGTCGTAATCAGTCGGTGTGTTCGGTGCTGGAGTGGAGCAAACATTAGTTCTGATTTACGGAATATTTTAAAGTATTTTTATTTGTTTAGTTTAAAGAACTCCATTTACCAGATTGTTTTATTTAGCTTTTATTTCTATTATTGCTGTTATGATCCTGTGAGCAGCAGCCAGAGACCCTCAGAACGCCGTTAGATGAAGGAGGGTTGATGGTGCAGCGTTCAGGGCTCTGCAGCTGCCTTCCTCCTGACGCTCGCTGTTCTTTGTGCCTCAGGTGTGTAACAGCAATAAGAACTGCCACTGTGAGGTGGGCTGGGCTCCGCCGGACTGCAGGTACTCCGGTCATGGTGGCAGCGTGGACAGCGGACCGGCCGGAGCGGCAGCAGGTGCTCCTCTCGGCGAGCCGTCAGAAGCGCAGCCTCTCCTCTCTGTTCTGACCTCTGTCTGTCTCTGCCATCAGAGTCCGATCCGGTCCGGGTGGCGCTGCTCGTCATATTCTTCTTCATCCTGCCGGTGGTCCTCCTCTTCCTCGCCCTCCGCTTCCCTCGGTGCCGTCGGAGCCTCTGCTGCCTCGGAGCGAACAGCCCGTTCCATAAAGCCCGCCATCAGACCCGGTAACGCCCACACAGACGCGCCGGTTTACCGGCCACGGCTTTACACACACCTGACTCTTCTCTTACCCACAATGCAGTGTGACTGACTGTGAGGTGTGGGGTTTGGACTTTGAACCCGCCCCCGTCCCCAGGTACTGCCGGACCTGCTGGGTTCTGGTCTGTGGTTGGTTCTGTAGACTCAGAGCGGTGAAGTGATGCTGGGTAGGGATCAACAGTCAGTATCTTACCGCCACTCAGCGGCTCTCGGATCCTCTCAAAAAAATGGCCGCCGATCTCTTTGAGGTTATCCAACATGAAGCTGCGGCTGTTTAGTTTCCACCAGAACCAGGAGGGTCACATGTTTACATACCGCCACCACAACCTGAAGGTTCTAGAAAGTCTTCTAATTGAACTTGGATGGACTGATGGCGTCTGTGATCATACCTGAGTCCTGCTGATCTCTGTAGAAACAGAGCCGGGTGTGAGGGATTGCTGAAGAGTCAATGAGTCGATGCAATCAGCTGGTTTTCCTTAGATAGAAAACTTTGAATCAATCTGACTGGATGATCTGGTTGATCCGGATCTATAAAGTGACCTGAGATGACATGATGTGAATTGGAGCTATAGAAATAAACTGAATAGAATTGATTTTATTTGCCAGTAGGAATGAAGCCAAACACCGATTGTTAGCGGGTCGAGTCATGTTTAAAAAAACAGGCGTTAACTATAAAGCTATTTTCAGGCTTTCCTCTCCTGCTGTGGACCCAGCAGGTTCTGACCACGATGCTTCTGCAGCTGCTCGCATGAACAGACCAGAAATGTCCCCAGGAAACGGTTCTAACTTCAATTCCTGGGTTTATTGAGGACAATAATACCAGAGTGGATGATCAGCACAGATCTAATGGGTGTAGGAACTGATAGGGGAACTGACAGGGAGAGGTGCATTCTGGGTACGCTGTTGTCCAGGTAACATACTGACTGCTCAGAAGGATCCGTCAAACCTTCCTGCATCGCCTTCACCCTTCTGACTGCTCCGATAGGATCATACCTGCTGGAAAACCACTTAAAGCTGCACTGGGACCAATTTCACCATCAGGCCAGAGGGGTTTCTGGGTAATGAAGTCCTCAGTGCTGACAGCCATTGTGCAGCTTTAAGTTAAATCAAGAAGTTAAGGCTATAAGCCTCCAGTTTACTGCTTTAGTCCTTTGCTGTTGTTGTGTTTTTTGTTGTGTTTAGAAATCAGAAGATGCAGGTTACCTCATCGTAGATCGGTTTCCATCCGTGAAGCTAGCGGCATGGAAGCTACTTCCTGTTTAGTGAAACGCTTGAAGATTTAAACCGCTTTCTGTCCAGGACTCCTGTGACGGAACGAGCAGACAGCCGGAACGGAGAGCAGGTCCGACCTCTGAGATACCACTTGAACCCGCAGCCCGACGTCCCGCCCACTCCGGCCCAGAAACAGGTAACCATGGCTACAGCAGTAAGCAGTAATGCTTGTAGCGACAGTGGAGAGGAAAAACTCCCTTTGAACAGGAAGAAACCTCCAGCAAAACCAGGCTCAGTGCGAGCGGCCATCTGCTGAGGCCCACTGGGGTTCAAGGAGACAGGAGAAGCAGAATGATGAAAAAGGGGTCCCTATGTCCTCCAGCAGTCTAAGCCTATAGCAGCAGAACTATAGAGATAGCTCAGGATAACCTGAGCCACTCTAACTATAAGCTTTATCAAAAAGGAAAGTTTTAAGCCTAGCCTTAAAAGTAGACAGGGTGTCTGCCTCACGGACTAAAACTGGTAGTTGGTTCCACAGGAGAGGAGCCTGATAACTAAAAGATCTGCCTCCCATTCTACTTTTAGAAGTTCTAGGAACCACTAGTAAACCTGCAGATTGAGAGCGAAGTGCTCTGTTAGGAACATAAGGAACAATCAGATCTCTGACACTGTGATACCAGTTTACACCAGCAGGGGAGGCAGCTGTGCCGTTAGCAGAGCTAATCCAGACATGGGGATAGAAAGGGATAGAATAACCTTTATTGTCCCACAGCAGGGGTTAGGGACCGTCTTTAATCCATCCAGGGATCCAGGCGTCCACCAGGCTGTTCCCTAAAACAGTTTTCAGAGGAACGGAGGATTTTGGACGGATTCTTGCAGAGCTGCCGTGTTCCCATGTGGGAACAGATCATCATGAAGCAGAATGGCTTTAGAACAGAGCCATTCGGGTTTTATCACATTTTCACTCATCTGTAAAGATAAATATCACTAAGAATGAACAGCTCCCATCTGATCATATTTTAGTTTTTTTTAGAAATAAATACTTAAAAGGTAAATAAGTGGATGTTTGCTTTGTTCATTTAGTCATTTTAGTGCTTTAGTCACGTTTAAACCAGTTTATTCCTGCTTTATATTGTTTTTTTTGTTTTTTTTTGCAGTAGTAATTTCTTGAAGCTTTTATCATGTTTAGAGAAAAAGAGCCTCTCAGATAAAGGAAGTGAAATAAGCGCCTCTGATTGGTCGGAGGAAACGAGACTGTTGCGTGATTGAGGAAGTGAAAAGAGCGTCTGCTTTCCTTCCCCTTTTTCTCCACATTAACATTTCTGCCGCCGTCTGACTCTGCTTCCTGTCTTCTCTTCAATCAGGTTAATGACAGACCTGCTCCTCCCACTAAGCCCCTCCCCCCTGACCCCACCCTAACACCCCTGCAGCAGGTAAAGGAACACCTGACCCGTTTCGGTGCTGATTCTGGTTGTAGTTTGTCATCCCAGTGAAGCTGTGTTGTCTTCATGGTTCATGTCAACATGTGAGATTGTTTGTTTGGGAAATTATAGGGAAGCAAAATACAAAAGAAAAACGATTCTATGTGGAAAAAAGATCTTCAAGCTGTTATTCTTCCTATTGAGAAAAAAATCTATTATTCCTGTAACTATAGATCAGTCTGTGCTTTTCTCCATTAGATTTTATTTGTTCTTTGTCTGATCTGAACTTTTATTTCATGATCTGAAACTAAAAAGGTTGAGTTTTACCAAAGCTTGAAGGTTTTCTACATTTGTTGAATGAATCAGTTCAGCTCTGCTTCCTCTGTTGGTTTTTAAGACGCGTCTGTTTTGAATATGGATGAAAGTAACGTCCATATTAGCTTTATTCAGAATGATGCTAACAGCTGATGAACGGGGATTTAAAAATAATTAAAGGGGCTAACACGCAGTTAAGGTCACTAGACAGAATGCTAAGATGACTAACAGCCGTTAATGTTAAACACGAAGCCGATATCAGACCCCAGTTTCAGGTCGGAGCCTCTCTAGTCCACGTCTATGGAAGTAAATCTGTGTCGCTGGGATTTGAATTAAAAATGCCACTGAAATATAAATGTTGTTTTTTTTGTATTTACTGTTTCAGTGTTAAAATATATTCAGAAAACATTTTTGACCTAAAAAAAAATTCATTGTCATTATTTCTACACAGCTGAAATTTCATTTATTTTCTCTAAAAGCTAAAAATTCACATTACTATTTCAAAGTGATTACATTTTAAAATCTTAGTTTTCAGTTGAATTTTTCAGTGTTAAAAAATCTGCATATAAAAAAATTCAACCTTTTTAAAATTCAAACTCAATATTTTCAGCCTCCTGAGATTCAACTGGCTCTATTTCACCGTCTTAAATTCGGCGTCTAAATTCAGCGTAAAAAGGGAAGGGTTACTTCAGGTCACAGACATTAGCAATGGATCGTGGCGTCCAACACCCAGCCAATCCCGTTACGGTTTCTTAGTCACGTGACGTGACGCATGCGGCGCTTATACTGAAGGAAAACCAGCATCATGAGTAGGGCTGGGTATTGTTAAAAAATTTTTGGTTCCGGTACCAATACCGATACCTTCACTTCGATACCGGTTCCTAAACGATACTTTTTTCGATACCAGTTTTATAATATCAATTCAAAGAAAAAGAAAATTACACAACATAAAAAAGTACAAATGTTGAGTTTTATTTTAAGCTCTGATTTTTCCATTTACATTTTTCGTCTTACATAAAAAAAAAATTCAGTGTCTAATATTCACTGTTACATTGTGAGGACCTTTTTACTTAGCAGTTTTCCTTTAGAAAAATGACCGTGTCTGACAAACAAGCCCGTTGAATGGGATCCTACTGACAGCGCACCGCTGGTATGGGGGGGTCTGAGCGGCTCCCACAGAAATATTGGAAGGCTGGATGAACTGACTGCACTGATTAAGTTTTCAGGTGGATTTTCCCACTTAAAAATATAATAAAACTACTTTATTCCCACTGATCACAGCAAATATGGCTGCAAGGCAGAGAAAGGATAGAGTAGCTCCGCCTAACGCCCAGAGAGCCAGAGCAGCAAAGCTGCTTCAGCTGTGCGTCAGAACTAACTGGTACAAGCAGCAAAAATGAAGCAGCAGACGTGATTTTGCTGCTCCTGCTGCGTCCAGTTTGAAAGCAGCATGATTCACTCCGCTCTGGCTTTGCTCCGCCCACGGGCTGCTGAGAGGAGGATGGTCGCGCCGCTGCGGTCCGCTCTTCTTGCAGTCAAACACCGAGCAACTTTCTGCTCTTAAATTGTTTCCATGCACGATGTATCGCATTGCGCACTATTGGCATCAGTCTACTCTGTAGAACCGAAGCATTTCGGTCGGTACCATAAAAGAACCGATGTTCGGTACCCAGCCCTAATCATGGAGCCTGTCATGGTAGCTAACGCTAACTCAACTACAGAAAAATGAAAGTAATAAACTCACCGTTGAGTTAGCGTTAGCTTGCATGTACTTAAGTATATTTTGAAGTACTTTATACTTTCCAAGAGTATAAATTTTTTTTTTACTCAAGTAACATTTCAGTCTGTGACTCGGACTTTTACCAAAGTCATATTTTGGAGACGTACTTATACTTTTACTTGACACTTTAAGACGGTGAAATAGAGCCAGTTGAATCTCAGGAGGCTGAAAATACTGAGTTTGAATTTTAAAAGGTTGAATCTTTTTATAAGCAGATTTTTTAAACACTGAAAAATAAGATTTTAAAATTTAATCACTTTGAAATAATAATGTGAATTTTTAGCTTGAAGAGAAAATAACATGAAATTTCAACTGTGTAGAAATAATGACAATACGAAACAGTAAGTACAAAAAAACATAAAAATTTCAGCTGCATTTTTAATTAAAATCCCAGTGACACAGATTTACTTCCATAGACGCCTCCCAGTCTGGCCTGGTTCTGAAATCAAACCAGTGACCAGCTCCTTCTTGTGTTTGAAGCAGAAGTCCAGCTGTCTTTTATATTAACGCTATTTGCCGCCATTTTCCCAGAGAAGGTGGAGGACGATGCTCAGTTGTAGATATATTTCCAGAATCTAGAAATGTAAACTAGATGGAAAGTGATCTGCTAATGATCCGTTAACAGAGCGGGATCAGCGGCCTCCCTCTGAGCTCTGACCTTCTCCTTTTCCTGCTTTTATTTCTGCTGCTTCAGTTGGTTAAACCGCGACCAGCGGCCCCCACCAAGCCTCTGCCCCCTGACCCCCCCGCCCCCAGCAACCAGGTAGGCTGAGCGCTGGCCGCCGCCCCTCCTGTAATCAGTCCTGCTGCCTGTGATGTTCGCATGTTTTTCTCCCTTTGGATGATTTTTATTATAAGTTATATGTTTTATAATCATCCTGACATTAAGATTTAGCTCTCAAATAAAATCTATTTCTATTTATTAATACATTTTCCATCTTTAATAGATTTCCCAGTTTTTATAAATATTTATTTACATTCTTATTTTTTTAAAACATTTATAAAAAGAAAAAGTCAAGAAAAATAAGACTAAGAAAAGAAAAAATACAAAAGTAATAATTATAGGATTAATTATTGAACTGGTTTCTTTATCACATCAGAACCTGAATACCAGTAAATGGTTTTAGTGGAAGATCTAGATCATGTAGATCTGTTCCTTCTAGCTTCAGTCAGATTTTTCCAGATGACGCTCATTAGTTCTGTTTGCATGCAGCCTGTCTGTCCCGTTTACATCTTCTTCTCTTTCTCCTTGCTAACACTTTAGCTGCCGGTGAGTCGACCAGCTCCGCCCAATAAGCCCCTCCCCCCCGACCCTGTCACACCTGCACAGGTACGCAGCTCAGCGGTAGAACGTGTGTGATTGGAGCTGATTGATCACATGATCATAAAGGATTAGAGTGATTAACCCTTTCATGCACAGGACACTCCTTGCTGTACGCTGCCATCTGCTGGCCATCCAATGCAAATGCAACAACAATTTCTCAAATCCAAGATGGTCGACAGACAGCAAAGCATTTTGGGAAGCTAAAGCGCCTGTCACACCTTGAAGATTTAGACCCGCGAATGCCTGACGTACAAACGCTGGCATACCTTGGATAAGTTATGGGTGCATTTTGTATAAGTCATGAGCGCGCTGAAGGACGCAGAAACACGTCAACATACGGCGAATATGTCAAGAAATGTTTAGCATTAATTTCCCTCCGTATGCCAGCGTCTGCCATCCATCGGCCGTCAGTTCCAGGTCGGTTATCTGATGGTTGACATCCGTTCAGTGTCAGTTCCTCATCAGTCGTGGCGTCTAGCTGATCCTAAACCTCTGAGTAACTTCTGCGTAACTTATCCAGAACTTCTCTCCAACGCATATCAACGTATCTGACGTGTTCCAGACGAGCGCTGAACGTGTTTCTAACTTCCAGCTACTGTATAACGTAGGGACGGAACGGTTTCTGAAAACCGTCCGAACCGTTCGGTTCGACTGTCTCGGTTCGGTTCGCGTGTGTTGCGTTCGGTTCATGCGCTGCTCCTTTTTCTCATAGAGGAAGCGATTACACTCCAGAGTAGAAGGTGGCGGTACTGCGACCAAAGCCAACCACCAGTAGTAAACAAGAAGAAGAAGAAGCGAAGCAGCGTAGCCGGGTGTAGCAGAAAAAAATCAGTTGTTGTGGAGAATTGTGTGGGTATGGCGAGTGGGAAAGAACAGGAGTTGGAAGACGCGCCAGCAGCACTTTATAGGTCTGCTGTATGGGACTGCTTTGCATTTAGAGTGACCTACGATGACGGCGGAAAGAAAGCGGTGGATAAAAAGAGAGTGCTAGCATTGTGCAACACGTTTTGTCTATGCTAACTCTCAGGTCGAAGCACCTAGAACATCATACATACATGCAGGGAAAGAAAGAAGAGACAATTCATTTAGTTTTACTCGCGAGGAGAGCGAGGAGACTGCAGAGTTTACAATCCCCTCCTCACTCTGCATTCCCAGCGTTCTGCTCACTATTTATTAGAAATCAGGGGTCCCTGGTTACAACAGCTGAGACTCTGCTCTAGAAATGAGAAACAACATGAAAAATTCAGACTCGCAGTCTCAGTAAACATCCTCTAAATTCCAGGGTTCAGTCAAAGTCCAAGCGGTCGAAGCTGTTCACCAAAGTTCAGCAGGTCGAGTGCTGCTAGTAAATCAACCACAACCTCCCCAAAAGCAAATCTACAAATCACAGTCTACTTCAGAAAAGGTGGCTGTGAAAACATGCACACAGCTTTATGCACGATAACACTGCACAGATACATTAATATTAGGGATGCACGATATTGGGATTTTGGCCGATATCCGATATGCCGATATTTTAAAACTCATGTAGCCGATAACCGATATCGATACCGATGTTAAAGCTGGACAAAAATAAGTAGTCATTGAAAATAGCAGTTTTGTTATCCATTTCTGACACTTTGAAAAATAATATACTCAAATATATTTTCATATGCTGATATCAAATAGATTTTTAAAAACGCGGTATCGATCTATTTTACTTTCAAAATCTCGTGAAATTTCATGGTTCTGTTACAAACTCTCGTGATATTTTGCAAATTCTTGTGAGATTTCGTTAGTAAAATAGATCGATACCGCGTCAATATATCAACATATAAAAATATGGCAACATTTGGTGAATTTTCGGGGGATTTCGTAGCATAACGATGACATATAGCAATATTTCATTAGTAAAAGAGATTGATATGGTGTTTTTAAATGGCAATATATCAGCATATGAAGATATTGGGATATTTTAATGGATCAATATTTTTTCCCTCGTCTTTAGAAGTTTTTAAGTCTGTAAAAAAGAAGTTTTTGAGGAAGAAGAAGTAGTATTTTATTTTTTATTTTTTTTAGACTTTAGAAACTCAGAAGCTGATCAAATATCGGGTTAAATATCGGTGGGGTGGCCGATGTCCGATATTCAGTTTAAAGGCCGATACCGATAGGGGGCCGATTATATCGTGCATCCCTAATTTATATACAATTATTGTAACACTAACAGCAACACGACCAACATGTCAGGCTAACAATCAACATTTACCAAACCGAACCGAAAACTGTGAACCGAACCGTGGATTTTGTGAACCGTTCCACCCCGAGTATAATGGCGTATTGGCTGCGTTTTGGTATAAAGTTGGTTCGCTCTGAGGATTTTAAATTTCCTGTGAAATCCGATTCTTTTGCGCGGTCGTTCACATTTCCAAATAAATGCGACTTATATGTGACCTCCTGTGTGAACTGCACTCAGATCAATGAAGTGCCTCGCATGCGTAGTAGAGGACGCTGTGACATCACAAGCGAGCGTGAGGAAGGTTGGCGAGTGGATGAGAGGAGGTGATGAGACTGTTTTGAGAACATGAATGAAATGACATCTGTGCTTTTAGCCAATCAGAGTGAAAACATGCTTCCATTAAAGTGTTTGATTGCCTGAAACGTGTCGAATTAAAAACTCACATTTCTACAGGAAATCCACCAGATTTTAAAGCCCTGTGATTATAAGACGTGTGATTATAAGTTATCCTAATTCTGTATGGAAAGGTTGAGATCTGCTGAGATGTTCAGGATCCAAACCAGAACTGATGGTTCTGGTTCAGAGCAGCGTTTCATTAACCAACGAGCTGCTGATTCTACTGATGGGTAGACTAACTCCTCAAACTCTTCTCTGTCTTTAGGTTTCTGTTCCACTAAAGCCCATCGTCCCCAGAAAGCCCCGCCCTCCAGCTCCGCCCACCAAGCCCTACCTGCCGCCTCACCTCCCCCCACAGACCAGCTACTCCTCCAGCATCAAGCCGGCCGCGCATGGAGCCGTCGCACCTGCAGCCGGAGCCGACAGGTACGCTTGATTCACCGGGGAGAATTTACACTGGAGGGAAACTATCAGAGTAAAGAGACAATAGAATCGAATAGAAACTCCTAACTTTGTTTCATCATTCTGCTTCATTCTATCTCTATTCTCCCACTCTGCAGAATCTGTTAGTTCAATCTCTAACGTTCTGCTCTCTCTGCTTTTTCTCATAGTAGCTTCATCTGGTCTGTTCCTGTTTGGCTGTGACTCCATCCTGGAGAGAAATATCAGCTGTGCTGCTGCCATCAACACCTTTGTTTCTAGATGTTGGAGCTTGGCCTGTTTTCCAGTGTAGTCAATCTAGAGATTGAACTAACAGATTCTGCAGAGTGGGAGAATAGAGATAGAATGAAGCAGAATGATGAAAAAGGGGTCCCTATTTGTTTATATTTCTTTGCGTGAAAAATAGTTTTAACCCAAACAAATAAGATTCAAATAGTGTGACTGTATAAAAACAGGTTATAACTGTTGATGATATCCAGACTAACACTAATATTTATACACCAGCTTCTTATTTTCATGAAGAAAAGTCCTGAAAGCTGTTTCTGTTTCTTGTTTAGGACGTAGCATTAGCTCAATAGCTAATATTCTCAGCCATCCAGGTCAGAGTCATTCCAAAGAGTTTAAAATCAATCCTCTGGACTTTGTTTCCAAGTTTGAAGACGTTTCTCTTCCATCCAGGAAGATTTTTCAATTTAAAATGTCAGAAATAGCTTTTAGTTCCAGGTTTTATCCAGCAGCCCAACAAAGCCTGGTTTTAGTTTCTTTTGAGGACTAGAATGTTCACATTTTGGACAAAGAAGTCAGATGGCTATAGAGGGGCGTGAAGGAAGCCATCTATGTTATAAAAGAAAAACCTTAAACAGAGGGGGGGGGCTCCAAAGCAGTGATAGTTGATTCCTTCCTGCTATCATCGCAGCTCCAACCCCTTTACAGGAGAACAGAAGACCTCACCTGTTCATCCAGGCCAACTATTCCCTCTAACGACCCCCCTTTCAGAGACATAGACAGGTATGGGGCATTGCAGGCTAACAAAGAAGCCAAACGACCCCCATTCCAAAGGGGGGGACCCGTTCATCCGTTTCTATTTGCATGTTTTCTAAACTAAAACCAGGCTTAGTTGGGCTGCTGGATAAAACCTGGAACTAAACGCTATTTCTGACATTTGGATTGAAAAATCTTCCTGGATGGAAGAGAAACGTCTTCAAACTTGGAAACAAAGTCCAGAGGATTGTTTTTAACTTTTTTGGAAGGTAAACTGGTGAATTTTTCTCAGGATGTGGAAGATCTCAATAAGCAGGTTATCTTAGTGCATCTTTATTTTAACCTTATTTCCTGCATTAGTCCGTCAGTCACCAGTGGTCCCAGTAGAAACCAGTCTGTTTAGAATCTGTTTGACCAGTGGCACTAAACTCTAAGGTAATAAAACCAGTAACGTCTCTGTTTGCAGACGACCTCCTTTCCGCCCGAGTCGACCTCCGGTTCCCCCGAAGTTTGAGTCGTCGCCTCCTCTTTAACCTTAGAGAGGCTCTGATTGGCCGATGGGCTGGAAGACGATGGTGAAGATCGTTAGTTCGGTTCCAAAGGACCCGACGATGCTGGATCTCAGTGCCTTGCTCAGCAGCTTCTCTGCACAGACGACACAAATATTTGGGAATCACACCTGCGACTGTAGCTGCTGCTGCTCGCCCTGTAGCGCCTCCTGCTGGAACTACGGGGTTCAGTGCCTTGCTCAGAGAGAGAGTGGACAGGAATCACACCTCGGATCAAAGAGTCAGAGGAGACGAGATTCTGCCTGGAACCATCCAACCTTCCCGGCCGTCCTCTCCGGGTGGAATCATCACATTCTCACTAAACTTTATCTTCTGGTGAAACCAGGAGGAAAACCTGACAATCTGTCGGTATTCTGTAGAACTGAAGAACGTTTATAGTTCAAGTTTTATTAAAGAAATGTAGAGAAAATATTTCAGAGTTGACTTCTTTAGGAATAAAATATCCTACTCATTTCTTCTTCTTGTCTTCAGTCTGTAGCTCCTCCCACAGCGCCACCTGGAGGTGAGAATCAGAGATGGGAAGTAAGGAAGTACAAATACTTCGTTACTGTACTCAAGTAGATTTTTCTGATATTTTTACTTTACTTATTTTTATGGCGACTTTTTACTTCTACTCCTTACATTTTTACACAAATATCTGTACTTGGCAAAAGTACTCACTTTCCGTACTTGAGTAAAAGTACAGATACTTGTGTTAAAAAATACTCTGGTAAAAGTGGAAGTACTGATTAAACTTCTTTACTCAAGTAAAAGTAACAAAGTACAGGCTTGTAAATTTACTTAAAGTATAAAAGTAAAAGTAGAAACCACTTTTTTCATGCCGTTGCCTACATTTTAAATGGATGTCTGCCAATAGGACTAGATCTCCGTTGTGTTCATTTTCAATCATCTCGTCGTCCATGCTACTATGCTAACGCCACCGCCACCAAGCTGCAATGATTTGCCGCCAATGAATACCGCCGAATCTGTCGATTCATCTTGTAGCGGTGCGTCAAATGCAACGTAGATTCCCATCCAATTAGATTGAATTTGGTATTGATGACGTGAAAAATAATAACGGTAACTCCATTGAAATGATTCAAAACTAAAGTAACGAGACAATTTTTTAAAATGTAAGGAGTAGAAAGTACAGATATTTGTGTAAAAATGTAAGGAGTAGAAGTAAAAAGTCACCATAAAAATAAGTAGTAAAGTAAAAATATCAGAAAAATCTACTTGAGTACAGTTACGAAGTATTTGTACTTCGTTACTTCCCATCTCTGATGATGTCACAAGCAGCGTGTTCTGTGTTTATGGAAGTAAACATGGATGGTAGCGCTGGAGCGCATCTAGCGATCTTTCCCAACCTTATGGTTAAACATAAATACTGCTCTCCGCATCATCATCCGCCATGGTTGTTGTTTTTCTTGCCGCTTCTGTATGGCAAGACGCAGAATAGTGACCTTGGTCGGGTTTTAATGGCGTTCAGGTCAGATGAATGCGACCTGGCCGCTCAGACACAGGTCGCATTTGAAAAGATCAGATTCAGAGCCAAGCGGCCTGGGAACCATTGGGAAAAATCGGATGTGTGTCGATCAGACTGCCATGAAAAGATCCGATCCAGGTCGCATGAGGGCAAAAATATCGGGTTTGGGTGACTTCAGGCTGCAGGATGAACGCAGCCTTAGAGTTTCCCGGATCCGGTTAGCATTCTGATCCCTTAGCAGGTTGTCTCAAAACCACAGCTTCACTTTAAGGTTAGAATCTTTCCAGAATGTTCAGCAGTGGTTCTGATCTGCTAAAATATTCAGAAACTGTTGGATCTAAACAGCTTCTCCATCCAGCCAGGATGTCTCCCTCTGCTGGACAACCTGCAGGTTTCTGACCAATCAGAGAGCAGAGAGACAGCCCCACTCTCATTCACCGCCTGAAGATTTAAGCTCGGATGGCTCTGGAGAAACTCGACCTGAAGGTACTGTTCAGCCCATCAGAGCTCCGTCTGTCCGTCAGGAACATGACTCAGCATTTTCTGGGTCCAGAAGAATCGTAATTACCCAGAGGAATGAGGGATGAGTTCTGGTGAAGACGAGCTGCAGGTAGATGGAGCGGGAGAGGAAGGACGGTGGTGAAAAAAAACAAAGCTGCTTTTCAGGCAGGATGTTGTGCTCTGCGATGAAATGGCGACCTGTCCAGGGTGGACCCCGCCTCTCGCCCATTGACTGCTGGAGATGGGCACCAGCACCCCTCGCCACCCCACTCTGGACAAGCGTGTCTGAAGATGGATGGATGGATGGATGTTCTTGTGCTGATGGTGTAGAAGCAGTTTTATTGTCTTATATCAGAATCTATCCTACAGCATGGCCCTATACTTACTTAGCAACCAAAGTTAAAGGTCAGTTTTGAGTCTTAGTAACACCATGGTCTCCAAGGCTGCATGAGGGGGTTTGGCAAAAACAGAGAGCGTCTGTGTAAACACCTCTTGAGGGTCGCAGTGACTTTGATGCAGATCAGCACACGTGAATCCAATCCACTTTATTTATATAGCACGGTTTAAATAAACACAAGGTTCCCAAAGTGCTGCACAAAAAGATAAAATAACTAAAATAAATAAAAGTAAATAAAATAAAAGCACTGCCCGCACAGGATAAAAATATGCATGTATACATAAAATCAATTCTCTACATGGTGTTAAAAGCCAAAGAAAAGAGGTGGGTTTTAAGAAGAGTTTTAAAATGAGACAGAGAGGTGGCCTGTCTAATGTGCAGCGGCAATCCATTCCAAAGTTTTGGAGCTGCAACAGAAAACGCTCGATCCCCTCTGAGCTTAAAGGAATAGTACACCCAAAACATGATTAGCCTTCATTTTCTACTCACCCCCATGCTGAACAACACTCTGGAGTACTTTTTTGATATCTCAAATGCATCTGGAGATCTGGGAGGCTTCTTGCTGTCTGCTGACATTCAAATAATGGAGGTCTATGGCGCCCGAGACAGAAAGGTCCATAAAAGTCCACAAAAAATGTGTCAATATTCCTCCATACTGCTCGTCCAATGTATTCCAAGTGTCCTGAGTGGGTAGCGTCCAGAATTTACTCGAAACAAAGTCATTTAGAATGTTTTTAGAGCATAAACAGTAGTGTATAGGATTTCCTGAAAGCGCGTTCAGGAGTCTACGGAAACCGCGGCAGACCAAACCAGATGAAAGTGCGCATTCAGCGTCTGCTCTGCCGATAATGCAAGCGTAGAAGAAGAAATGTGCTGTTTACCTGTGCAAAGAAAGAAACAACGAAAGAAAAATGTCTGAGGACTTCAGTGTTGAGGAAGAGCATGAGTTCTCTGCCGAGCTGAATGCGCACTTTCATCTGGTTTGGTCTGCCGCGGTTTCCGTAGACTCGTGAACGCGCTTTCAGGAAATCCTATACACTACTGTTTATGCTCTAAAAACATTCTAAATGACTTCGTTTCGAGTAAATTCTGGACGCTACCCACTCAGGACACTTGGAATACATTGGACGAGCAGTATGGAGGAATATTGACACGTTTTTTGTGGACTTTTATGGACCTTTCTGTCTCGGTCACCATAGACCTCCATTATTTGAATGTCAGCAGACAGCAAGAAGCCTCCCAGATCTCCAGATGCATTTGAGATATCAAAAAAGTACTCCAGAGTGTTGTTCAGCATGGGGGTGAGTAGAAAATGAAGGCTAATCATGTTTTGGGTGTACTATTCCTTTAACTCTGATTGCTCTCTGGTGCCCAACGATGGCAGCCACTGCTGAGATCAATAAAAACTTCAATTAATTAATAAGCTCAGCCAAAATAGGAGATGGTTTCTGTCGCTGGATGTGAAGAAGCTGCAAAAAGCCAAACACATCAGATAATCAAATTAACACAGCTTTATGGTCAGAGTGAGTGAATTATGGTTTATTTATGTAGAACAGCAGAGATCAGCAAAACATTTACATGGTGTCTAAAATAACATCTATTCTGTCTGAAAAAACAACCTATAGGTTTAACTGTACTTCTAATTCTAAAGCATCTATTGCAAACTAAATTTGTAATCAACGTCTTAGAGCAGTTGTGATTATCTTAATATAAACTTGCATTCCAAACCTTTGAATGTCATGATTTTCTTTATAGCAAAACTATTTTGTAACATCATAATGCATTACGTTCTGGTTCAGATACTTTCTAAAACAAACGCTTAACAAAATATGGTCAGTATTTAATATAGAGTGATGTGAAGTTTGCTGAGCACATTATGAGACTTAGAACCAGCATGAGGAAGAATATCTCATATCACACTTAGTAGAGACATTTTAGGACTTAGAGAAAACATGCTGATCAGTTCATGCAATTAGAATTAAGCAACAATGAGATTTAGATAAGTTAATAACATTAGAGTAAGATTTTGTCTCTTCTTTTCTTTTTTCTGTTCATCTTAGAAAAGCTTGTTTCCAGCTTTGGGGGACAGAACTCACTCTGACATTCTGTGTAAACCTGCTGATGTTTACTTTACAAAGACTGAATTAATATTGGGAAAACTATAAGCAGTAATTAATAAGCTTCAAAATGTTCAGAATATGTTACTAATTGCCACTATGTAAATCATTACAACGGTTACATCCTGAATCCTATGGGATGCTGTTTGAACCTTTTTTTACTTTTAGTTTGTTTTTGGAACAGTTAAGTTGAAAAACCGCCAGCTATGATTTGTAAAGATTCAGCCAACAGTGAATCTACAGACGTTATTTCAAATATTAGAAATCAGTTTTCTTCATTATGACTATATTCTCTGTTTAAGGTTGATAAACATGATGTATTAATTGATCAAAGGTTTGAATGGAAAAGATCAAAGATTTCCAGACCAGTTTTATTTTAAGTACAAAGGCTCAGCCTCCTTAATGCAGGACACAATGTGGACCAGGTTTTAATCGCACATTCTGCATTAACAACGTACTAATTATTCTGCTTTAAGTTTCTCTTCACAGACGCTGCTAAACCTGAAACCTTTTCTGAAGGAAGACTCACGGTTTGTGCCAAATGTCATAGTAAGGTAGGAAAACTATTAATGGATATTACATAGAGCTCAGCTGCTGACACTCTGGAACTGTTCCCAAAGTCAGTGATTTAAAACCAACAGTCAATAGTATAAAGAACTAAATGTTAGAAAAAGTCATGATTCAAATTAATTAAATAAAAACATTCAATATGAACCTCTTAGTGATTATCAAGGCACAAAGTAGAATGTAAAATTAACATGTTTACCTGTAAACTGTATGGAATATAAATATTAGAGGATGCAAAAGAAGCTGCTAAAAGTAAATAAATCAGGAAAACCTAAATTAAGACTGTCTACAACATAAAATAAAAAATTAAATCAACAGGAGCCTATGAAGTATTTAAAGACAATAAATTTCCATAAATTAGAGATTCTATGAATCGTTAAATAATGCACTAGATGTACCTCTGTAA